AATTAAATTCTTCAAATAATTGTACATAACTTCTTCCCTTGAAGGGTGAGCTTCCATATTAATGTCTTCTATTTCTTGGGGGTTTTGGACAGGGGGAAGGATAGGGAAGGGATTCCTGCAGCTGCTCACCTGTCAGAGGTGCACTGGATCCTGCCAGCTGAAGCCCGTATCTGCTGTTCAGCTGTGGTGCTCACCAGACTGCACCTCCCCAGTCAGGTGCAGGTGAATGCCGTTGAGAAACAGGGGAGTTCTTTCAATATGAGAGACTACAACCCTGTCTCACGTTGCAGCGCCATTTGTCATGAGCCTGTAGGAAGACAGGAGACCAGCGGGATTCTTGAACAGGGCTGCAGGTGCTGCCCGAGCAATGTTCCAAGCTGATCTGCTTTATTAACAAGATGGAGGGATTTTACAGGGTAGGTTGGAGAAGGTGCTAGAAGGTAGGAGGGATATTCAAAACTTGGACATGGGATAGGTGGAGGGTACATGAATAAACATGAAGGGGTAGGATAGTAACAAGGTACAAACAGGGATTGGTTGAACAGATGTGGTGCCATGAACTGTCCAATGGTAGCTGACACTTGCTTCTAAGAGTGTAGTTCATGGTAACCACTTGCAACATTTTGAGGCTTCAACCCAGCAATGGTTTGTAGCCCAAAAGTCACTTATAGCACAGTCTTTTTACACGACTGCAGTTCTGTTGTCCAGTGGGTTAATAAACTCTTCTTTTCCTTGTCCATATGGTGAAATTCCAGAGAGGTTATATCTCCAACACCCCAGCGTGTCCCAGTATCTCCCAGTAATCACCCTGTGCCCCCCAAAGGTCTCCAACTGTCCCCAGTGTGTCCCCAGATGTCTTGGCCTTTCTGTGAGTGGGGTGGGCAGGGGGGTCTTGAGGGGGAGATGGAGGGTTAGGGACATCAGGGATGGGATTTGGGGACAGTGGGGAAAGGATTGAGGACAGTGGAATTGGAGGCATCAAGGGGGGAATTGGTGCCATGAGGAGACCCTGGGGACATTTGAAACACCATGGAGGTCTTGGGGTGTCAAGGGGAGAACTAGGGACACCAAGAGGGTCTTGGGGACACCAGGGGAGTCTCAGGGCACACCTGCTTGTGGTGCTGCCCCTCCTCTCCCCCCGCAGGCCCCATTAACCACCTCCAAATGTTCCCTAACACCCGTTTTCCCTTTAATCCCCTTCCCCCACATATCTCTTTGATTCCCCAGTGCCCCCATGACCCTTTTTAACTCCTCCAAATGCACCCAGGGCCTCCCAAAAACTGCCAAATCCCCATCCAACCCCCCCAAAGAGAGATCAGTTTGCACTCTGGAACACAGTGGATTGTACTGGAAGGGCACTGGACTCTAATGGAAAGGCACTGGGGGGGCTCAGGTGTCCCACAACAATGTGGTCCAGCTCCAGGAGAGATCCGGGGAGCAGTGAGGAGGTACTGCTCTGTTCTGGTTTGTACCCCTAATCCCTTAAGCCCCTCCCCAGTTTCCCCAGGACCCTCCCAGACACCAAAGTCCCCCAGGCACCTCCAGGCTCCTGACTTGGTCCTGTTGCCCCTTGAGCATCTCCAGCTGCTGCAGAACCAGGCATTTCATGAGCAAATTTGCAGATGACACCAAGTTTGGAGGGAGTGTTCATCTGCTGGAAGGCAGGAGGGCTCTCCAGAGGGACCTGGACAAGCTGGATCCATGGTCTGATTCCAAGGGGATGAGGTTCAGTCAGGCCAAGTGCCGGGTCCCGCACTTTATCCACAACAACCCCCGGCAGCCCCACGGGCTGGGCACAGAGTGGTTGAAGAGCAGCCAGGCAGGAAGGGACCTGGTTGTCTGGAGTGACAGGAAGCTGAACATGAGCCAGAGTGTGCCCAGGTGGCCAAGAGAGTCAATGGATCCTGGCCTGGCTCAGGAAGAGTGTGTCGGCAGAAGCAGGGAAGCGATTCTTGCCCTGCACTCAGCACTGGTGAGGCCACCCCTGGAGTGCTGTGTCCAACTCTGGGTCCCTCAGTTCAGGAAGGAGGTGGAAGGGCTGAAGCAGGTGCAGAGAAGAGCAATGAGGCTGGGGAAGGGACTGGAGCACAAGTGCTGAGAGGAGAGGCTGAGGGAGCTGGGGTTGTTGAAACTGGAGAAGAGGAGGCTCAAGGGAGACCTCATCACTCTCTCCAACTCCTTAACAGGAGGTTGTAGCCAAGTGGGAGTTGGTGTCTTCTCCCAGGGACCAGAAGTAGGACAAGATCTTCAAGGCTTGATCTTCAACTGTGCTGGGGGAGGTTTGGGTTGGATATTAGGAAGAAATTTTTTACAGAGACAGTTAATCAGCCATTGGAATGGGCTGCCCAGGGAGGGGGTGGAGTCACCATCCCTGGAGGTGTTTAAGGTGAGACTGGATGTGGCAACAGTACCATGGTCTGGGAACCACTGCGGGGTTGCATTAATGGTTGCATTTGATGATCTCGGTGATCTTTTCTAACCCAACTGATTCACTGATTCTATGAATCCCATTCCTATGGCAGCACATGTTTGAGGCTCTATACACATGGTGATAGATATGTCTAGACATATATACATACAAGTTTAGTCTGTAAAGATGTGGTGTTAAAAAGCAGGATAAGTTCTGGGATGGTTCTAGAAGGAGAAAGAAGCCCACGGCCCAGTCCAAACAGGAACCCCTCAGCTTCTGCATCATCTCCCTTGCCTGCAGGTTCTTGTCCTTGAGACCAGACCCTAAGGCAACCCTGCGAATTGTCATGGAGGTGACTCCAGAGCTGGTTCTGGGGTGACCCTGAGAATAACTGCAAGGCAGAGGTGCTGCTGAGGAAGGGCCCCATGCTAGGGAAGAGGTTCAGCTGTGAGTGCCTAAGCAGTGAGAAGGACCTGTCTCCATCCCCTCTTTGCCAGGTGAGCTCGGGAAGGAGCCGTTGGCCATGAAGATGGGGCTGACCTGAGCAGGCCCAGACCTCACATCCTCCCACTCAACGCTGGCTGCCCGGGGGGTGTGGGAGAGACCCCCAGTCAGTGTACCCCGCACTCAGCTGGCAGAGAGAGAGTCAAGGGACTGGGACACACGTGAGGGACAGCCAGGGACATCGCAGGGACACGGTAAGGGCACAGTCTGTGGCAGCAGAGTTACCCAGGACTGGGGCAGCTGGGGGTGTTGGTCCCAGTTGTTGCATGGCGACCTGGTTCAGGAACAGCACGGCGACTGACTCCTAGCCCCTCGAGCCATTAACTCACAGACACCAACATGGTGGATGGTAAATGGCATTTATTGGTCTGCAGCACAGCTTTAAATAGTGTAGATTTGCAACGTCATTTCCATCCACTTACATCACCACTTAAATATTATTGGCTACTAAGCATTGGGGGGTCCCTATCTTTCCGTACATCCCAAGATCTTCCGGTTGCCGGACCTTAGCTACCTAAATTTTCCCCCTCTCTATGCCATATAAAAGAGCATAATATAACAAAGTTAAAACATCATAGAAGTGCAGGTAATATAGGGTAGCAAAATTTAAGGCATAACAACCAGTTGAGCACCAAAACCGAAGGAAACAGACAAACGCCAAGGGTGTGTTGCGACAAGCTGTCGCAAGACAACTGAGAACAATACTGAACATATATTATCAAAGTAGCTGCTGTTGCTCAACCAGTATGATGTTGACTGATTCTAAACAGTTTTTGATGAACGACACAAGTATGTTCAAAATGCAAGGCCCAAAAATCAGTGCTACAAAGATTATTGTGACTGGACTGATGAGAGAGGATAACAGAGGGGTAAGCCATGGGGATTGGTTAAATAATGATGTGAACCAATTTTGTTGTGCTTCTCATTCCTTTTTTCGTTTTTCTAACCTTTCCCGTAACTTAACTATGGCATCTTTCACTATTCCAGTGTGGTCTGCTTAGACACAGCATTCTTCCTTAAGAGCAGCACAGAGTCGGTCTGTTTGTAAAAAGAGCATATCTAGCCCTCTGCAGTTTTGTAATACTACTTCAGATAATGATTTGAGTTTGCAAGGGCCGTTATTGACTCTTCGATCCTGGTTATGTCCTCATGTATTGCCACTTTTAAAGTGCCAAACTCTTTGTTTTGGAGTACCAGAGATGCTATCCCTGTACCCACTCCAGTACCTTCTGCAAGCATCAGCAGGGCTATTGTTAATGCTGTGATAGGTTCTCGCTTTGTCAGATGATGGTCTGGGATAGTTATAGAACCATAGACATAGTCTTCAGGGTGGTAGTAGATCTTGGGGACTATGGTCACTTGGACACAGTAATCTGAAGATTTGTCAAACACTTTTAAGGACAGACAGGGCATAAGTCCCGAAGAAGAACAGGACCATTCGGTATTTTTGGCTGGTATTAACCATTTCGCCTGGGTTGTGTAATGTGCTTTAGTAGCGCATAGTCGCCTTTTATGCTGTGGGACTTGGTCTACACATGTTCCGCTTCAGACAATTTCTGTTAATGTAATGCCTTGTTTGTCCATTTCCCGTAAACACTGGGCTGGATTGTCACTATTGGCTTGTGTTGGCGTGTCATTTACTGCTACGCCTTCATAGTAAGGTGGTCTTACTCCATAACAAAGCCAACAATGTTCTGTGAGGTTTGGATTAGTTTTGTTCAGTACTTGATAACTAGCTTGCATCATTTTCCGAAAAGGATGTGTATCATTATTAATTGGATCAGTAAAGGTGTATGATGTGACAGGCGTGGTAGTGCGACCTCTTATGGTTGTGTCATGGTTTGTGTCATCTATGGGTGCATTTGTGGGTGTGTTGCGATGATCGGGGGTAGATATGTGTGGTGGAGGTATGTCATCAGTCAACATTTGGTTCGGACCTACTGGCAGAGGGTCATTTGGGACAATTTCTTTCTGTATCAGGATTAAACCACCTTTTTTTTTTTTTTTTTGCACACACTCCTCGCTCTGGTTAACAAACACAGGAACTGTGACAAGTTCGAGGTGAACACCCAGAGCATGGCTTACCTGGCAGCTCTGTTGACAGTGTCTGAGGGGGTTCGGAGCCGCTGCAGCCTAAAGCATAGGAAGTCTCTCTTGTTGACAGACGTTTCAATGGAAAATGTTCCTGCTTTACCATGACAAAAGCCAAGAGTAAAATTACACAAGGACATCGGCGGTAGTTGTCTTGGTGTTGTCTGACTCTTGTCTGCGTGGGATTCTCAGGTCCAGACGGGACGTTGGTCGGTGTGTCACTTTCTTCTGGCACTGTGACGTATGGATTACGAGGGTGCCCAATGTAAGTAAAAACTCACAATTTTCATTAGTTTTATATCGAATGGAATCAGGTCTTCTCCTCCAAAAACGCCATCTATGAGAGTAGAGACCATAGCAGAGTTGAGCCCTTTATCTGCTATTGCCTTAATAATTGTTTGTATATCCTTTGGATTTACTGGTGAATGAACTCTCCGATCTCCTTCTGTTCCTTGGACTGGGAAAGCTAGTGAAGCTGACTGAATCCAATCAGCACACGCAGCTTTAATTTTCCTCCAGTCCGTAAGAGGGGTTAATTGCTTTTGTGGTTTGTCTCTATTTCTATTTTTAGTTATGTCTATTTCTTTTCTCTCTTCTTCCGAACTTGAATTGGTTACATACCGCCCGCCCCACTCACACCACTCACCTCGCGACTTGTCCCAACTAGTGTCTGACTCGGAGTCCAAACTTGACTGACTAGTTACTTCCAGTCTCTGGTGCCTTTTCGTCGGGCTACAACCCCGCCCTAGTCCCCTGTGGGCGGATGGTTTTTTGCTCCGCCTTTCTCTCGTGTAGACAGACAGCTCCCTCCCCCTTTGCTTACCCGTCCTTCTACTCTGGGCGTGCGCCCTACATGGGCAGTTTTTTAAACAACCATCATGGTCGGCACTCTCCTCCTCACTTGCACTCCCCTCTCCACTTGCACTTCCCTTTTTACTCGTACTTCCCTTATCGCTTACACTCCCTTCCTCACTCGTACTTCTCTTTTCACTTGCACTCCTTTCATCACTCGTACTTATTTTTGTCTTTCGCCTACTTCCATCATTCCTCTTCCCTCTGCTCTCCCTCCTCCCGGTACTGCCCATACCCACGAGCCCCGTCACTTCCCTTCTTTTCTCACCAGCGGTATCTTTGCTCTCCCCTTCTTCTTTCCCTTCAGTGCCATTTTGAAGTGCATAGAGCGGCGATTTATCTTTAATTCCCTCAGACTCTGCCTTTTCCATAACCTTTCTAGTTTCTTCAGTTAATTCCCCCCAAACAGTTTCAGTTCATTCTCGTCCCCCTGCAAGTGGATCGAGGTCTGAAAATTGAGAGGAATCATCACCCTCTTGTGGATGTTTAAGCACAACAGAGTCATTTACTGGTAAGGGGCTCCAAAGTTTGTGTGACTGCCCCAACTCCCAGTTTAGGGATAGTTCGCAGGCATTTTTCAGCCGCTTTCCAGGTTTCTTGTTCCTGTCTGGCCTTTTGTAAGGCATGCATGACTTTCCCCCACGCTTTAAGGTGGGGTCCATGACCTGAGGACATCGTTTCCTCAGCTAACGCTTTGGTACATTTATCCCATATTTCAGGGTGGAGAATGTCCACCGGCTGGTCAATGACCCCAATTTGCATAAGCCTCGCAACGGCAAGAATAAAATACTTAGATTTACAATCAATACCCCACTGCTTATGAACCTCTGATATGACCTTCACAAGGGCTTCCATCCTCCTTGTTGGTCCGGGAGCATCCTCCCCACCGGGTTGGTCCCACCACTCCAGCCACTGTTCACCCGGCATAATCCCCGTCCCGATGCCCGGTAAGCTTTCTGGGCTTCCCGGGTTCAGCACCACTTGTTGCGTGGTGACCTGGTTCAGGAACGGCACGGCCACTGACTCCTAACCGCTCGGACCATTAACTCACAGACACCAACATGGTGGATGGTAAATGGCATTTATTGGTCTGCAGCACAACTTTAAATAGTGTAGATTTGCAACGTCATTTCTGTCCGCTTACATCACCACTTAAATATTATTGACTACTAAGCATTGGGGGGTCCCTATCTTTCCGTACATCCCGAGATCTTCCGGTCGCCGGACCTTAGCTACGTACACCCAGCCACTGATGGGGCCGAGCACTGCACAAGGCCTCTTGCAGAAAGCTAGAGCAGCCTCCCACTTGCCAGCCCCGCCCTCGTGGGGTGACACTGTCCCCTCCCTACAGGACACTCCCCCGAAATCTTCAGGAGGGCCCTTTCTGTATATTGCTGGTTGCTGATTCATCCTGGGGACCTGAGGGACCCTCTGCAATCCCATCCGTGCGGCACAATCTATTCTCCAGAGCTCGACTCCCTGCAGACTTTGTAAGGAAATTTGTGCTCGCAGTTGCATCCTGAGTCCAAGGTCAGTCTGTATCCCCCACTGCTGATCCATCCTGGGGACCCAAGCGATCCTCTGCCATTCCATCCATGCAGCCAGAGTCACCCTGCTGCCCTTGACTCCCCTGCAGAGGAACAAGTGCTATGTCTGGGAGTTGCTGAGGGTGGATGGCAGAGCGGGGTGATGTCGGAGTTGGGGGACCCCTGGCAGCCTGGAGGGGGGAGCATGGAGAGGGTGGAGCACCAGGACCCCCAGGAGCCTGAAACGGGACTCTGGAGAAGGGGAAGCCTGGATAGTGGGGACCCCTGGGATCCCTGGGACAACAAAGGGGGAAACCTGGAACCCTGAAGGCAAGAGTCAGGGGAGATGGGACCTTTGGGACCCCCAACACTCCCAACATCCCTAAGTGGGACCTCCAGCATCTCAGAAAGGGAAGCCCCTAAGAATACCAGAGGGGAGAGACCAGAGAGGAGAAACTCCTGGGGGAGTTTCTTTGGGTGGAATCTTAATATTTTGGAGTATTTTTTGGCTGAACCTTAACTTTTTGCCGTTTGAGGGGTATTTTGCCCTAATCTTGATGGTTTGTGTTTTTCTGGGCTGAATCTTGATTTTTTGTAGGTTTTTATGGTCACAGGATGCCCAGTGAGTTCTAGAGATGGACTTGGGCAGGAGGAAACCCCAAGCCAACAAGCTCAGGCCTTGTTTTCCTCCCCAGCAGGATTTGTCCTTCCCAAAGCTTGGGTGGATGGAGGAGGAGTCTGCAAGGAAGAGGAAGATACCACAGGCCCCCCAGGCAGGTGAGGAGGAAGTCAGTGGTCCTTTGGCCCTGTCTTGTGGTGCCTGTGGCAGCCGAGCATCACCCCCGGCTGCAGGATAACCCCGCTGGTGCCGCCGTCCTGCTGGGGCTGGATTTGGGGGAATGTCCTTGACCTTCCCTCTGGGTCAGAGGCAAATCCCCTGTCTGTCCTTCTTTCTTCCTGCCCCAAGCCCTGAGCTGAGAATGGAGAGCATGGAGTCCAGTAACTGTCAGTTCATTCCTGTCTTCCAGAAAGGGCCGGTCCCCTTTCAGAAGGGCAGGTTCTTCCAACAGAACCCTTCTTGGGGGTGTGTGTAGAGATTCCTGCCTTGGTTGGGGACCTCCCAGCATCACTCCTTGAGGTTGAGAGTAGAGATCTCCCCATGAGCGTTGGTCTGAGGGAGTTCCATCCATCTCTAATAATTATAGCTTTTGTGCCATCTTTACTAGAATTGCTTCAACGATTGCTTCAGTGTAGAGCACTGTCCTATACGTCTAATCAAATACTGCACTCAATGGTGACCCTCATATAAATTAGGGGAAGACGCAAAGTGGTCAAAGCAGGGACCATGAGACTATAATATCGTACTGCAGTTAATGTTGTTTTTGCGAAGGGAAGGAAAATGGGGTGAAGAAATTTACGTTGATATGTTCTTTGCTTTGAGAGAACATGCAGAGTGGCAAAAAGAGTGTGGCATTTGTTCTAACTTCAGAATGACAGAATCAAAGAGAGGGAATGGGAAAACTTAAACGATGTTGTTCGACGTGTTCTATAGGACAGAGGTGTTTGAAATATATGGACAGTGAACCAGAAAGTAGAGTTGATAATTATGGAAGTCCCTTTGGAGAAAGGGCAAATAACCCCATAGAAGATGGGGCTTCTGTTTCCCCCTCAGGGCTGGCAAAGGATGAGGACAGTAAATTATCCCCATCCTCAGGACAGCGAGAGAGGGACAGAGAAAGGGGAAGAAGAAAAACTTCCCTTTCCCCGTCCTTCTCTCCCCTGAGCAGGTGAACGTGCAGCAGGATGACAGCATGATCTGCCTCCCCACGTGCGGATGTCAGACGGATTATACAAGCCCCTTTAAGGGAAGTTGCTGGTCCTCAGGGACCTATAAGGCTTAAAGTTAATTTCTCTATGGGAGATCTAGACTGTGAAGATATTGATTTGATGCTAGATGCTTTGACTGAAACTGAAAAGGAGTTAGTATTGAAGACAACCAGGGCACACGCCCAAACTATGTTAAGGTCTGATGATGATCTGAATGTTTTCTTTCCATGAGACAATCCACCCTTGGACTACAATAATCCTGACCATTACCAACTTCTCTGGAAATACCAGGGGTGGGTGGCTCACAGAGTGGAAAATGCAATTCCCAAAGCTGTAAACTGGAGGTCTCTGTATGTGGTAAACCAAAACATAGGAGAAACTCCCACTGAATTTCTAGATCGATTATGGGAAGCAATGCAAACTTACACCACCCTGGGCTCCCTAGGGGATCAGGGTAAACAGCAGTTAATCTCACTGCTTCTGGGTGAGTTCTCAGATGACATCTGACACAAACTGCAAAAGTTAAAAGCTTAAGATCAGAGAGACATTGAAAAACTAACTGAGGAGGCATGGCGGGTGTACAGAAACAGGGAAGGGGTAGAAAGACAGAAATTAGGTAAAACTATCACAAAGGCAACTATTGCCACCCTGGATAGGAGAGACCCTTGCTCTGGAAGATCTGGATGACATCTTGGAAACAGTAACTATCAAAAATTGAGACCAAACCAGTGTGCTATTTGTAAACAAAATGGACACTGGAAAAGAGAATGCCCCCCAAACAAACAAATCCCTACTTTGGT